GGTACTAATAGCAATTGACTGACCTTGACCTTAGAAGTCGATGCGGGTCAGTCAGGAAGTTGAGCAAAAGCATGACTCTCTAGAATGCTCGACGCTTAGCAATCTATTGGAACTTTTGGAAAATCATGTTGGAACGTTTTTTCTGGGGTCGCAGACATCCCAAGCAAACCTGATGGCAGTGACTCGGGCTTGTCCATCCCACGAAACGGTTTCAACTCGTTTCGGAAGCTGAGCGCCTGAAACCTTCTCGAATTCTGTCGTCGAGCATCTAGACAATGTGCCGTAGCAGAATATGTTGCACAACTATGGCTTAGACGATGGCATACACCATCGACCAGAAAAGGCATGAATGCTAAAAGAGTGGGCCTCTCATGGTATGCATTAGTAGACGACAATCAGTGTGCTCTTCACTTCCCCCACCTCGCCTCACCAAAACGTGTCGTTTGTTCTCCTACTGTTGGCTGGTTGCTTGACTTGTAATGGAAAACGGCTTTTGTGACTTTGCATTGCAGTGTCCACTAACGAATGGGACGAACTGCATTAGTTACGCGTAAATCAACCATCCACTACCCAATTCACACGCCTAGAGCACGCGTCACTTGACCTCCACAAGACTATGCTACTCCTGTGTATATGCGTGTGTTGGTGGTTGTGGTAGACTGCCAATGCAAATGCTCACTACCTTTGGTTTTCCTGCTGACGGCCAATTTGAATGTGTGGAAGAATCACTTCATCGTGACCAACAGGCGGTGCCGTTAAATTAGTGACAGAAGGACTACTTCCTGTTCTTACAAAGCAAAGCAGCACCTCCATATCACCTACTTCACGGCGTGAGACCTACCTCACCACGCTCGATGATATTTTCTTCAAGTGGTGATACTTACCTCTCCCTGGCACTAGTCAATCAGATACGAAATAGAGTAGACATTTGAGAAATATACGCATGATGGAAATGGTGGCCAGAACATGGGGGGCCAGGTTACTTCATTCTGGTTCTTGAGGCCAAATGTCTTGTAAGGTTGTCACTTGAGAAAGAATGATAAATGGTAATGCTGGTTATTTCAGCAAATGAAGTAGTTGAAGAAGCTCTCCACAGTCATTTAAATTTTATAACAAAAAGTGAATAAAAACTTATTTGGTTGCCGTATAGCAGCGGTGTCGTGATTGTATTAACGAAACATGTGCACCAGGATTACTTATGCACTCAGTCAATCCATTGGTTTGACAGTCGCACGAAAATAAGTACACGGAGTGAAGGAAAATGGCGACATAAATC